TGTTGTGGTGTCCTATTAACTGATAACAGACTGATGTTTGGCCTCCCAAAGGATTTTGGGATGGAATCCATTTACTTCCAAAAGTCTAAGTGACCATGTGCCTCTAATATCTGACTTTATTTAGTCTCATTATATTATGGTTTAAGAGCAGAGATTCTATTAAAGGGATAGTCCACCCAAAAAATGAAAATTCTGTCGTTATTTACTCCCCTCCCCCTCATGTCATTCCAAGTTTTTGCATTGCATTTCTTTCATCTGTGGAACATAAAACAAGATATTTTGAAGAATGTTGGTAAACAAACAGTTTCAAGTTCCATTGATTTCCATAGTATTTTTGTCCATACTATGGAAGTCAATCGGACATGAAACCACTTGGTTACCAGCATTCTTCAAAAGAAAATGGACTGTTGGATCCTCTGCAGTGCATGGGTGCCGTCATAATGAGAGTTCAGACAGCTGATAAAAAAATCAAGAAGTTTCTTTTTGCTTCACAAGATGTTAAATGATTGACTGGAGTGGATTAATGTAATATTTTGATCAGGTGTTTGAACTCTCATTCTGACGGCACCCATTCACTGCAGGGGATCCATTGATGAGCAAGTGATATAATGCTACATTTCTTCAAATCTGTTCAGATGAAGAAACAAACTGATGGCCCGAGGGTGAGCTAATTTCAGCTAATTATCATTTTTGGATGAAATAATAAGTTGTTATGGTATTTAAAGGTGATGCGCAACTTGATTGCCTCAGTATTAGTCTAAACGGTATTGTAAAAGTACTGGACTGTCACCTCCCCTCTGCACTGTTCCTTCCTGTCCTCTCCTTCTATCTCAGAGGAACCAGGTCAGAAACAAGGACAGTGTCAAAGCCCTGCTCATGCTTTTGGTTCTGTGCACTCTATGCAACTGTTCCCCTTTTCTTTAGGCTGAACATTACAAAAGCCTTTGGGAAAATGCTTAATTCCTTTCAATGCAATCTGCAATAGATTTATTTTCCATTCTGTTCCTATAAAATGCATTAAAACAAAAATCTTGGAAGTGTGTAAGCGACTGCTGGAATTTATCCTCATGGGTTTGGCCCCATTAGAGCTAATGATAGCATAGTGTAGAGAGGTGCGAGTGAACGTGCTGCTACTTTTATACATAGACAGCAGGCGTGTGTTCTGACATAAGCACTAACCCACAGACGACTCCTGTGGTGATAACAGCTCTCCTTGTCAGACACCACAATCTGCCCGCTTGGATTGCACTCTTCTCTTGGCCACTGAATCAGCCAGAAAAGCATCCGAATTTGGCACAGTAATAAAGAAAGGGAGACTGGGATCATTTTGGCAGGGACTGCCTTCTAAATTTCATTAAAACTTTGTTTATAGCTTATTATTAATGACGGGGCTGACATATGCCAGCTTCACACTTCTGTCCTGTTCCAAAAGGAGTCATGAAAGATTTGTTCAACCTTTAAAGGAATAGTTCACCCAAAAATAATAATTCTGAAATTATTTGTTCACCCTACACTCTTAAAATTTTTTATTTGCTTCTGTGAAGATCCTTTAACATCCATAGAAACTTTCCATTCCACAGAAGGTTCTATATAGTGCAAAAAGCTATTAAATGATCTTCATACTAAGGAAAATAAATAGTAATTTTAAGAATTATTCACTAAAAGGTGAAAAATGGCATTGCTGTGAAAACCCACTTCTGCAACTATTTTTAAGAGTGTAATATTAAAGTGAACCTGTGTAACAGATTTTCTTTCATAGAACACAAAATGTACATTTTATGAGAATTAATTAAATTTTTTCCATGCAATAACACTAAACAGATACTGAATCTTTTAAGCTTCAAAAGCACAATAAAATAGAATATCTTCTGAAGTCATATGAATCATTCTATTGAATCAAATCAGTTGATCCAATGCATTATGATTGATTCACAAAACATACTGATTCATTTCTTGAGTTCAACTCACTGACTCGTTTTGAAGACCCGTTCATACAAAGAATGCTAACTATAGTTATACTACGGGGCCGTTGAATGCTTGAATCTGATTGGCTGACGAGCGTTCTGAGGCGTGCAATTATTTTCAGGGAAACGCACGGAGAAAGGAAAAATTGAAATCGCATCATATGACCCCTTTAAAATGACGTTTTGGAACTAGCAAAAGAGGCGTTGGATGAGATGCGGAAGAAATAATCCTACTCACAATAGCGATTTAAGTACAAAAACTGGACGAATCCCTTTAAATATATAATCTGATCGATGCCTTGAGGTGTGGTAACCGTAGTATAAGCGGAATAATTGACTCCGGGCCGTTGAATTATTCGAAAAATAATGCACACCCGAGGTGTAACGGCCACAACGCGTGCATTATTTTTCTAATAATTCAACGGCCCGTCGTCAATTATTCCTTACTTATTTAACACTTTATATAGATATAGTTTTAAACATTGTTCTAAGTTTAAAGGAACGGCAGAGTCCACACCATAACGATAACAATATAGAGGATCGATATAGTTGGAATCACCTTCACAAAAAATTGTTTTTTTCAGCTAATGAATGATAAAAACATTGATAGCCATTCAGAATATCCTGCTTTAAAGCATTTAAAGCAGCAGACAACAAAACTGCAGTGTGCTTATTATGAACAGAACATTCTTGTGCATGTGGACGCTAATAAAGTTATCGTTATAGTTATCACTCTTGGTGTGAACGGGCCTTTATAGCTTATTACAGGGGAAGTACGTTCAGTATAAATGTAATTCAGCTTTGAAACCAAATGAAAGTGTGTAAATGACAAAATTCTCATTTTTGGGTGAATTCTATGACTTCTTGACCCCAGGTTTGACCTTCACCCAATTCAATTCAGCTTGAGTTTTGTATCCGAAAAGCTTTACACTTACAGTGGGACTTTTATTGATTTCATATGAAGTGTGTGACAAACAGCAAGATTGATTGAAGCTTTTAATTGGGTTCGGTGCTTTAACACCACTGCTGTGGTTTATTCTGAGCTTCCTTAATGAATCACTTCCTCCAAGGGTCCAACGACTGTGGGATTGATAGTCGTGGGGGTTGCCATGGAGACAAGACCAGCAGACTCTGATCACATTGACTGTCGATGATGGCCGTAATTAAAAATAACAAGCTTTCCTGTGTTGCACCAGAAGGATGATTTCCCCCATTATGGTGACACCTCCACCGTGCTGAGATCCCTTTCACAATTATCAATCAGATCCTGCTCTGTGTGGCATTCCTCCAGCTCTAATCCATCTCAGAGGGTCACACGGACCCCTGCTTAACCGATATCAGCTCAGCGGGTGTATTAACTATGGATGACGTCAGTCTTTGCTGTATGTTATTCACAAGGGCACAGCCGCTCTTCTTCAGAGACACATCACTAAGCTGCTACTGTTCCTGCGCTCACTGGCGAACTGTGCCAGAGTCTGTGGCTATATTTAGCACTGCCTGTTTGGTTTTGGGTGCAGATTAATGTGGAGAGATGAAAATGGGAGCGAGGGATATCCGAACCTCTCCGATGACGGATTTTATGGAGGAGCCCGCAGCCTGTGATGGGAGCTAAAGGTTTATACTGCTGGCTGTAGTCGCTTCCTGGTGGATCTTTTGGTGTGAGCCTGCATCTCCTCTGCAGACAGACGGTAAGGAAATAGATACATATATGGGCATGTGAAGCACACTGCACATACGTGAGCATAGTATCCGATCATGTATGGTGTGAGGGCAAAATGTGCCCTTTTTAAGAGTTTAATACCTATCCTGCCTTTTAATGGAAGCCTTGTTTGTTAATGACCCTGATCCATTTAATGTCCAATGGGGACCATCCACTGTGTGACTCATGCTATTCATATGTGTGCATAAGTGTGTGCGTTATGATTTAAAATAATAAATTTTCTTAAAAAATTCAAATAGATGTAAAGATTTAAATTGACGATCTATAACCATTTCTATAATTGTTTTGGGGTTGTTCACATGACACATCTGAAACTATTTTAACTACTATTTATTGTTTAATATGAATTATATTATATTATATTATTTGATACACTGATGTTAAAGCAAATAAATACTGTACAATCTACCAAAAATCAATAAATAAATATAGGTTAATGCTGTTTTGGGTGCCTTATATTGAGTGTACTGTTAACTAAAAATAAAACAATTTAAAAGTATTTTTCGTTTATTGAAATAAAGCTGAAATACTAAATATAAATGTCAGATGAAAAACTTACATTTTGAATTACATTATTGCCTTGGCAACTAACTTATGGAGGGCCAAAATACTCAAAATTAAATCATTAAATAAATGTTGTAATATATAAATAAATCGTTAAATACATAATTAAATAATTAAATGCATATATATTTATTTATTCATTCATTTGTTCATTTATTTATTTATATTTATTTATTTGCTCCACATTTCTTTTTTAGGGTTATGGTTGTTTGTCGGCACGTCCCGTAACGCTTAAAATGAAATGTGAAGGAAATGAATGAATGAATATTTATTTATTTATTTTTGCATTTATTTATGTATTTAATTATTTAATTAAGTATTTAACGATTTATTTATTTATTTCAACATCTATTTAATGATTTAATTTTGAGTAATTTGGCCCTCCATATAAACTGAAATAAATAAATAAATAAAGTATTAAAATAAAGTATTGAATTATTAAAATTACTAAAACTGAAATAAAAATAATTTAAACCTATATAGAAATATTTAAAAAGAAACACAAAAAAGAAAAAAAGCACATAACAATTACTAAAACTTGAAGTAAAATTAAAATAAATACTGAAAATATAAAAACAAAAGTATTTATTCAAAATATGAATAAATACTAAAATAGTATAGATGGTAAATAGCACTAAAATAACAGCGTTCATATTAATTGAGAGACTACATGTAATTGTTATATTTTTAAAAAACTATTTTCGCAAACACATACATGTAAGTACAGGTGCATCTCAATAAATTAGCGCTTTGAGGGTGACTGTGAGAGTGAGAGCAAGGCATTCTGGGAATCCCAGCCAGCCCTGGATGTGGTTGAGTCTCAGCTATCAGCAGCAGAAGAAAAGTTTGTCCAATGCTGCCCCTCTATATACAGAAGCTCACCTCCAGGGGCATCATGAGTGGATAACGGGCGTGACTGGAGGCGGTGCATAGGTCAAGGGGTGGAGCCACTGCGGTGGATGGGCAGTTTTGAGTGGGAGGGAGGTGCTATAAATGATGACCAGTCTTTTCCGCCGGAGTAACGCGAACAGTAACCATGGCAGTGGTACGCGAGGGAGCGACGCTGCCTCAGGAGAGCTCAATAGCAGGAGGCCTCCACGTCAGGTCCGGCATTTGGAGTTTAGCCAGGCTATGGACGACTTTAAGACGATGTTCCCCAGCATGGAGCATGAGGTTATCGAGTGTGTCTTGAGGGCCAACCATGGTGCTGTCGACTCTACCATTGACCAGCTACTGCAGATGAGCTTGGACAGCCAGGCCACGGATGACAGCTCGGATTCTGAGGACAGCATCCTTCCAGAGGTGAGTCTAGGAACTTTTATTGAGACCCAGAAGTCTGGCATTTTTAGATCTTGGTACACAAAAGAATCTTCCCATCGAATCTCCTGCAGATCCTGGAGAGAACGCTGGAGTCGGACAGCTCAGATGAGGAGCCTCCACCAGTCTACGCGCCGCCCTCCTATGACATGCACATCTATGACAGAAAACATCCCGTAGATGTTCCATCCACACCACCACCCAGGCAAGAAGAACATCTATTCATGGTTCCTATTGGAAGAAATGACTAATAATAACACTAGACTTTAATATGTGAGAGAGATATTGTATCTGCATTCACTTTGTTCAAATGCTTTTTATGTTGACGTGACAACTTTCAGCTACTATTTATTCTTCCTTCTCTTCAAACCGAATCGGCTCAGGCATTTCAGAATGACTAAAACAACATTTGAGATGGTTTACAATGAGATTGGTCCACTAGTTATCCAATCACATGATCTGCTGATGCAAAATTACATAAGATTATTTTTGTGTTAGGAGTTTATTCGGTAAATGTGTTTCCATCAGAGTTCAAGTCGTTTTATTGGATAAAAAGTGTATCCACCATATACTGATCTACAATTCTTCTTTTTTCTTCTTCTTCTTCGTCTAAGACCAAATTTGTAACATTTCATATATCGGCATCATATATCGGCCATCGGCTGCCCTGATTTCTAAATGTTGTCATCGGCATCGGCCAGAGAAAAACCCATACCGGCCTCTATCCTGGAGGGTATTGAAGATGTCATATCACTGGCAAAGCCTAGCAACTACCCTGGGATAACATGCTAAATTATATAATTTAAAGTTTAATGTTAAAATATGCTAAAACACGCTACACTCTAAAAAATGCTGGGTTGTTTCAACACAACTTTGGGTCAAATATCGACTAACCCAACCGTTGGGTTAAATTTTACATTAAATTTTTAACCCAAAGTTGGGTTGAAACAACCCAGCATTTTTTAGTGTAGCAACATGGTAACTTATGCTAGCCAAATGATAAAATATTCTAGCAATATGCTAAACATTAAAACAATATACTATATACTACTGTATATTATTATTTTTTTCTTTCAGACAACATCAAAAGCCAACATCAAAGTTTGTCCTGATGAGCTTTACTTCTCAAGTTTAGTCTGCTGCTTTAAGTTGTGTAAATATTTAAAAATTGACACTTTCTTTAGTGAATAAACGGTTTCTGTGTCCCTTATTAGTTTGATGTTACTGCATCAAAGCATCAAAGTCTTGAAGACTACATTGTTTGATTATTCAGAGTTATGTCTGTAATCCAAACTTACATCAAAAGCCATGTTTCCATCCAAACTTGATCTTTTAACTCTTTTGAAAATTTGAATATCGCATGAAACATTTGCGCATCAAGTAAGCGTTCGAAAGAACAAAATCACTTACTGGGAAACTGGAGCAAGCATTAATAATAAAAACAAAAGTTGCTGCAACTGGGGAAGCCACTGTTAGCTTCTGTCTTCCTACATAATAAATTACTTGAGCCTCAGAGCGCACAGACAAAACGCAATAACAACCACTGTCGGGTTATTTTGTGTTTGGAGGAAGATATCTGATGTTTGGGAATGTGATTGTGTGGGACAGTTTTGTGAGGTAACCAAATCATTTTTATGACAGACTTTTGCCTAGGGATTTCAGAATTACTAAAGCAACATTTGAGACGGTGTACAATGACATTAGTCCACTGGTGGATAGTGCACTTATCCAGTCAAATGATCTGTTCATGTGTTCAGGCATATGTTTTTTGTTGTGCATTGAGGAATTTATTCCACCTCAGTTGAGTGCATACATTTTTATGCACAGATTGGTATTTCCATCAAGTGTTTTTTAATGTAATATTACAAAATTCTCATAAAATATATGGATGGAAAATTAGTTACTGACCTATTAGTGTGTGAACTCGGTAAACAACAGTGTCTTAAAAATTATTTAAATCATGATATTCCCATCAGGCCTTTCTAATTTCAGGAGTGTGTTTCATAAAAATTATTTGTTTTCTTTTGTACTCATTATTTTGTCAGGTTTGATGATTATCCTCCTCCTGGGCATCAGCAGGTCGGCAGATACAGGAACTGGAATCCACCGTTACTAGGCAACCTCCCTGATGACTTCCTGCGTATCCTGCCTCAGCAGTCAGAAAGTCTTCAGGTGGATTTATAAACCACTAACATGTATTCTGTATTAAAATCGTGGCTAAATATCATGTTTACATCAACAAACATTTAGCCCCAGATTCAAAGATTTAGATTCAGATCCAGATTCAAAATCTGTCCAAATTCGCTCTGTTTATATACAGTGGCCATATCATACATACTGTATGTATTTTTGTTGCATTTTATGCATACCATTTTTTTTCCAGCCACAATTTCATTCAAAATTACAAACAAAAATCTTCAGTTTACAACACCAAGCATTACATCTTGATTTGAGGACCTCAGTTAATGTCAAAGCCAATTAATTTGTCTCATGGTAGATTTTTTGACAATTTCAGTAAAAATATAATTAGCAATTTCCTTCTCTTGCAGCGTTCTCAAAGCAACCTGTCTCAGCCTTCCTCCTCCTCCTCCTCTTCCTCCCTGTCGTCCCTGACGCAGCTTTCGTCCAGCAGCAGTGCCCTGTCAGGTGGTGTTTGGTCATCTGAACAGGACAGGAAGTTGAAACAGTACTTAGAGGACGAGCGAATAGCCCTTTTCCTGCAGAATCAGGAGTTCATGAAAGAGCTACAGCGTAACAGAGACTTCCTCATAGCTCTGGAGATAGGTACACACACACACACACATATGTATATGCTGACCTCAATGCAAATTCCATTGTGTTCCATATTGGGATGTACATCTGAGTGAAATGGATTATGGAAAAGAAAAAAAATTAAAGCAGAAAGGGGTGGAGTTTAAGTGGACTAAATGATTGGAGAAGACCAACAAACAACACCAAAGAGAACTCTTGTCACTTTACCAGAAGATTTGGTTATAACATTTTTATTTTTTTTTAAATTACAAGGCCAAAAATCGTTCACAATAAGTGGATTCTATTTTTTTTATTACATTACATTACTGTGGGGAACATTTTCAGACACCCCCCCCCAAAGGTTTAGTGAAATGTAGTGAGAAACACATTGCACACTGTCACACTCATTTCTCAAACATACTTCACATAAGATGAAATAATGTTTGGATTTCTCCATGTGAGGAAAACCCATCATTCACATTAAAGAATTCATAAACCAACATTGCATTCAAGCATCTTTTTCGCAGTTTTTACCATATTTTGGGTCCCTTCAAAGTCTTGGTTCCTTCCAAGATTTCTTCCACATCTTACCTGCTTTTTGGAATGATTTGTATAATGAATAGCACCATACAAATAAATTCACAATTAACTGAATTTAGTGCTACATGCTCAATTTTAATCCCCTTTCTATTTGCAAAAAGATTTGCAGTGTTTTTCATTCTCACATTTGTAAACCATTCCTCCTATCATTCTGCTAAAATGCATTTCAAATAACCCCCATAGGTGTGTGTGTGTGTGTGTGTGAGAACAGCTTTCATTCCTCACTCACTGTGTGCAGTGTTGTGTTGTTCACTCCACTCACTCTGGAGCGGCTGATCTTCACCTGCCCTCAGTGACCCTCTTACCTGCTGTGTTTTAGATCGTCAGAGGTGCGAGAAAACACAGTGTGGTCATTCATCTGCTTGCACGGAGAACTCCGCCGAAGGTAGATTCCCTTCATCTTCATCCATCAGCCACGTCTGCCACACAAACACTGACAGGAAGCTTCATCTGAACCTGTCTGTGCCGCCACATAAAATGACACTCAGATAAAGGCCTACAGGGACCATATTCTACACTTTTGCCGCATTTATTTTTTTTATTATAAGGCTAAATTATTCTGTTAACCAAAAAATGAAATTTCTGTTATCATCTGCAGAACACAAAGGAGAATTGTAAATGTGAGCAGTCATAAGTTGACGCGCTCATGTCTAACTCTTGATGTAGGTGATAATTGTGGCTTGGGGTCTGAGGAGGCCTGTTCATCAGTCTCTGACGATGCCTTATTCCTGGAGAAACTCAAGCACATGGGCAAATGTAAGAAAACACAGACCTGAAGTTTAACAGCAAACTCATGTAATGGCTTGAGCTCTCGCCCCTTTCTGACCGCTGTATTATTACCTACAGCTACTAGGAAGAAGCTCTTTGAAATTGCTAGATCATTCTCGGAGAAGAGCAGAAGAAAGAAGTCCAAAAAGCGAGCTCTGCCCAAACACCAGTCATATCCTCACATGTCCAGCCCTGACAGTCGCTACCTGGAGTTTGCATCTATGTATGTTGTGTAGAGAAGGACTTCTTATGTTTGTATTTCTAGATCTTTCTTAGTCTAGCTATTAGTTTCAATGTAATGTGTGTGTCTAAATCGGATTATTTGATCTGCTTGTTGTAATATGTATTGTATGAATTAAAAGGTAAACTTTTCAAAGTTAAAAGTGCTAGTTTTAAAATACATCTTAGAAGCTATATGACACTGTAGTATTAAAGTTGTAGTGTGTTTGGTCCTTGACTTCTTCTCAGTCTGGGCTCTGCAACCTCCACCGTCAATCTCCTGGAAGAAGTCGAGGGTCCGCCATCGGGTAAATATTCTCCTTATCTAAATGCAAACATGAACTGTATTGGCACTGCATAAATGTATAACATTTGGTGAAACCTTATAAAGTGAATATGTGTGTGTGTCTATAAGCCGAGGATGACAGCCAATTTAAGAGACTCTCAGGAAGAGAGGAAGGGGAGGAGTCAAAGGAAGTGATGTAATGGTAAGCACACACAAACACACTAAACATCCTTAAATCATTGGACAAATTTAGATAATTAGCACATATTTTTATGATCTCTCAGAGATGGATGAATCCTGGCTGGAGCAGCCAGTGGTTTCTGCTTTAGAGAGCTTGTTTCAACAGCTCTGAAGATTGAAGAATCATGAAGATCGAGATTTTACTCACTAGTTTCCTGCCATGCTTAGTTAAACCTGAGCCATAAAATCATCATAGTTCTATATTGTTTGTAAAATTCTGGTTCAGCAGTCTGGTTTCTGATGAGGTGTAGCAGATCTGGTGGTGTTTAGAAGAATGCTGTGTCGGGACAGTGCTCATGCTGTGCTGGGACTCAGGACTCATTTCTGTACCTGAATGTTTTCCACCAAAACTGTTTCTAAAACGAAATTCAAGTCCTGAGTTTAATTTATAATACTGGCTAAGCACATTGCAATATTGGTAACAGTAGTTCAACAATGGTAACCACAAATCAACCATGGTTTTGCTACACTAACCATAGTTTAACAATGGTATTTGTAGAAAAACTGTGGTTATACAAATGGTAATCAATTCACCAAAAATTGTTACTACAGTTTTAATATAATAAAACCATGGTTGATTAAAGGGCTTTTCACATTTAAAAATTATCATAACATAAATAACATAGTATAACAAATCTTTCGGCCAGTGTTTAAAAAGACATCAGATTTATGAAAAAATGTAAAACTGTGTCTTATTGCGTAATAAACATAGCCTATCGATTTAGCCAGTCTATTAATGAGTATGATTACGTGATATAGTAATGTAGTGGGCTGAGGAGGGATGTTAGGATTTAAAGGCTCACATAGACATTTTTCTCCTCAGTAAAACGTTTTAAACATAAAGAAATGAATAGCACTTCACACAAAATATCTTTGAAATCACAATTTACAATAAAAATAGAGCGCCGGTCTCCTCATAGGGGCAGACGTTTGGTCACATCATGACAAACTGAACACGCACTTTATCTTGATAGGTTCCCTTTTATTAAACACTTGTCACTTATGGAATAAATTTATAATTTTTGACTATAGAATATTTTACGATAGCCTCGGAAAATTAAAACTTTTGCTTTTGCTTGATGCTGCATCCACAACGCTAGGTGTCAGTATTACCAAACTGTGTACGTTAAACTAATCAGCATCAAACCACTCTAATATAGACATATGCACGATATAGAGAGGTTGATAGAAATGTCTGCCTATTTTAGTTTAAATTAATTGTTGGCACCGTTGACCTCGATTGTTTGTGACATTTTATTTGCACTGCGCCATCATATTTGACCTATAATAAACGAACATGATAAACAAGCTCATGCTTAGTCTCTGGAAACTGCTGTAACTGTCCAGCAGATGGAGCTATACACAGTGCCTCGCTGTTCAATGTTTGTTTATCTCAAACACAATCTGATTTTTCTTTTCAGTCATAATCTGTCATTACTGTGATAGATGCCATTTATTTTGTTATCAGGAACAGCCTAAACACCTGTAGGGCCTCTGAGAGAGAGAGCTGGCTTTGGGTGCTCACGTGTCCGAGTGTTTCTGCTCATTGTCTGGTGTCTGCAGAATCGGGGATTTATTTATAGCCATGTCTGTCTACCTCAAAGCCCCATAATGCACCACTCCCAGATCCTGCGACTGGTGGCCTTTTTACCTAGGTCTCGAAAATAATCTCAAATCTGATCTCACAAAGCATAAATGGAACAAAAGCACACACCGCACCACCTGCCCCGCAGACACAAACAGTCTGAAATGTGACTGAAAAGACGTGTCAGTCGGGTATTTACTGAAAGCCTGTGTCACGGACAGTGTTGGGCAAGTTACTTCCAAAATGTAATACATTATATATTACTAGTTACTGTCTTTTAAAAGTAATTAGTTACATTACAATATTACTGTCTCTGAATTGTAATGCGTTACACTACTTTTGAGTTACTTTTGAGTTACTTTCACCAAAATATCCACAGAAGTATTATAAAGTGCCAAAATGTAGTTTATTGCTGCTCATTCTACACCCAGTGGAGGGTAATGTGGTAGGTCTATATAGCATAAAATATATGAAATCATATTTAGATACCGGTATGTAGGTCTACATTAATGTTACGTTGTAGTTTAGGTTAAACACAGATAAGCAGAAACCACATTATTACATTCATAACAATAATAAATAACACCAGTAAATAAAGCGAAATATTATCATGTACAAACAATAAACACAACACCTAGCCTATAGGCAATTTTGAACGGTTTCAGAAGAAAACAAGAATGAAAAATATAAGTTGCTAAACAAGCCAAAACGGTAAATTCACCACTTAATTTAGAGTTAAAATATGTCGTTGTAACTTGCGTTACTGAGATTGTAACGAGTAATAATATTACCCAACTTTTATTAGTAATGCGTTATATTACTGCGTTACAGCAAAACGTAATATACTACTGTAATATTATTACTTTTGTAATGCGTTACTCCCAACACTGGTCACGGATGATCTCTGCCATCAGATTCCCCACAATCCAATTTAATCTGCTGTATCCTGGGAAGGGATTCCTCAGGCTGACCAATAGAGTGTGAGTATCATGATGACATGGCAGTAGCCAGGTGGAAGCCACACTTTGTCTGTAGTACTTTTGTAGGCTTTTTTTGGCTTAGTGCACTGAAACTTTCTCACATGATTGATTTAGAACCTGGTTTAATTTCAATTTTTGTTTAACCAAAGAGTTTTAAGAATGCAATAACATCAGATATAATACTAAAACTTATCATAATAGCTTGGAAAAGGTCATGGTATGGTTGGTTTTTGGATGAAACATACTCTCATATGACGGCTCTTCTGTCTGCATGGAAAGGTCAAGTTTCTACAAGAGGTTCATGCGGTCATCAGCATACAGATGTTCACCTGACACTCTGACTGGTGAGAGAAACAGCTTGAAGAAAATGCTGGAGTTAATGATGACTGTTTGGTTCATTTCAAATTAAAATTTTAAATGTAGATATCTACTTAAACTTCTGCACTAGCTTTATAACTACTCTTGATTACTCTTAAAGGGATAGGTCATCCAAAAATTACACATCTGACATCAGATACTTACCCTTATGTTGTTCCAAATGACTTTTTTTTCTGCAGGACACAAAAGATATATATAGTCAAAAAATATTACTAAAATAACATTGCTTTGTATGAACAAAAACAGTTGAAATATTCTGATATTTGAAATTAAAGTCATAAAGATTTGGAAAGATCTGAGGATGAGTAAATAATGACAGACTGAACAACCCCTTTAAAATTTGTATTCTTGTACTGTTCTGACTTTATGATATTACTTGTGCTTGTTCATTTTAAGTGACTGTTGATAAAATTGCTTGTTAAATGTCAACAATTCTGTGTTTTTCTGTCAATATGGGGTGCTGTGTGTACATTAATGAGGAAAAAAAATTAACTTAAATGATTTTAGCAAATGGCTGCAATATAACAAAGAGTGAAAAATTTAAGGGGGTCTGAATACTTTCCGTACCCACTGTATATATATATATACATATCCCTGTTACATTGTAATGAAGGATTTGAATCAGTCTGCTGGTGTGAGATGAGAAAACATGCTCATATATTGTGCATGTGTGTGCTTCTACCGCTATAAATGCTCAAATGTCTCAGATCAAATTTGAACAGGAGACACCTGCACGGTTTACATACAGATTGGGCTAGTGGGCCAACACCTGGAAATAAACTATGCGGATGAAATCGATATTGATCACAATGTGTGAAAGAAATGAAGGAGATTTCTGGACATATTTTAATGTCTCTTTTTTTATACATTACACTCATGATTAGACTTTAAAGGGTTACTCCACCCCAAAATTAAAATTTTTGTCATTAATCACTTACCCCCATGTCGTTCCAAACCCGTAAAAGATTCGTTCGTCTTCGGGAGGCTTGTGACTGTCCCATTGACTACCAAGTAAATTACACTGTCAAGGCCCAGAAAAGTATGAAAGACATCGTCAGCATAGTCCATCTGCCATCAGTGGTTCAACCGTAACATTATGAAGCGACGAGAATACTTTTTGTACGCGAAGAATGGGGGTAAGTGATTAATGACAAAATTTTCATTTTGGGGTGGAGTATCCCTTTAAGGCATTGTTTTACTCAACTGCGACTTTCTTCATATTTGCAAATTGAGACTTCTTTCTCATTATTTGAAGATTACCGGTTTGGACTATAATCCATCCATGCAAACCGAACCTCAGCGGACACCTAGAATAATGTTCTGTCTCTGAGATGTGTGTGTATGTGTTGAAGGGGAGGATGTAGAGTGTTATGCAGCACGCAGTACTGAACTGCGACTTTCTTTCTCATATTTACAAATTAAGATGTTTTTCTCATTGTTTGGACATTACCGGTTTGGACTATAATCCATCCATGCAAACCAGACCTCAGCGGGTGCCTAGAATAATGTTCTATCTCTGAGATGTGTGTGTATGTGTTGGGGAGGATGTTGAGTGTTATGCAGCACGCAGATGGAGAGATGGAGGACAGATGGAAGGATAGAGAAAGAGAGTGAGATGGAGGACAGATGGAAGAGGAGGTGAGGTTTGGAGAGTGACTCAGCAGTCAGATTGAGCGTTTGATGTGAGGGAACATCACACCCTCACAGTGAGATGAGAAATCCTTCTAACCCCTTTATATTTTAATAAATGTGATTAAACATGCTCGTGCTTGTACGGAAGCACAAGGCAAGCAAAGGGGTGAATTTCCACCTTCATTTATTGCATTCTAGACCCTAAGATGTGAAAGGCCCTCTGTTTGAGCTGAGGACACCCTAAGGAAAGAAAACCACTAATAAAATCCCATTAATATTGCAGTTGTTTTTCCTAAACGGTATTTAAGTTAAATAAGAACAAATATGGGTTTTGGTTTGAGTCTTGTGCTTCACAGATGTGTCTTGTACTTTTGCACGTCTCCTCAGAAGAGATCTCAACAATGTGTTAAACTGTGCTCAGATTTGTCAAGATATTAAATATCCTGCTTTTTATTTCCAAGAGACCATATATGACACAGTTTGAAGTCGTATCATAAAGAGGACTTCCTGGACGTTTCAGACCAGGGATTTGGCCATGACAACTTCCTTTCCTTTTTAAAAACACACCAAAATATCTGACACCACAATTCAGCACATTTTATGTAAATATAAACAACGAGTTTACAAGTACATTGATTTCTTCAGTGTCCTCTACGACTGACTGCATGTGCAAAAATTATTATGAAATATTCCTAGTTCCTATTTGTTTATTTAGAAGTTTTCTCTTAGTCGTTAAAAATTATGTATAAGGTTGTAACCACATTTTGGTCCTGTTTACACAAATTCAGTGATAAATTTACAAATTTACTTTACAAAACTAATTTAATATCTGTCAAAAAATAAATACATTTCGTATGGAAATTACTGGTTAAAGTGTCTTTTCTTAATAACAGGATCCTACAGTTCTCTACAGAGGGAATATTATTCAAAATATGAATTAAGTACTTTTTTTAAAAAGCTATAGGCCTATATTTAGAATTAGAGTTATTAAAGCAAACAGACATGGTAAAAAAAAATGAATAAAAAATATATTATGTAGGCTATAACAATAAATTAAATGTCTAAATTAGTTTTAAATAACTTTTAATTTTAAAAATCTATCTATCTATCTATCTATCTATCATTAGCCTGCCCTACAGTCATGTGCGTACGGACTTCATTTCCCAGCGCGCATCGCGTCGTGCGATGTTTCCCACAGCTGACAGACAAGTGAGCGGAGACTCGCAGCACAACGAGCAGCTCGCACGACGCGCTTCCACGGTGCACTTGGATTTGGGATTACCTCAAACCACATCTCCGTCGTGGATCCCAGTGTAGACCGCATCTATCGTCCGTTCGGACAGTCTGATGGCATGCGTCTGTTGTAGTGCATGTGGATTGTATTATTATTTGTAGTTGCACTCATCTCTCCATTCACGGCGTGCCCAATGCAGTGGGATGGACGGTGTTAGAGTGGGGCTGATGATGGTGGAGGAGAGTGATGAACAGAGGGACAGCAGCAGCAGGGGCAGCGGCGGCGGTGTCGCAGCCATGGCCGCGCTACACCAGTGTGAACTGATCCAGAACATGATCGACATCTCCATCTCCAGTTTACAAGGGCTCCGGACCAAATGCGCGGCGTCCAACGATCTCACGCAGCAGGAGATCCGCACTTTAGAGGTAATAAAGACGAGAGGGGCCGAAGTGCAGCGTCACGAAAGAGCGCTTTATTACTGTTTCTTCCTAATTTTGCACTGCAGCTATTTATTGTGGTGCATTTTAGAGGCGCACAGGACTGGGACTGAACCCCTCTTATTGCAATTTACCAATTTAGTATTACCATGCTTGTACAGGGTACCGTGGTAATACTTGGAATTTGGACAGTACTGTGATGCTGTATTTTTAGAAACGCACAGTGATGTGATAGAACCTCTCACACAAAAATATGCCATGGTATTACCAGGGTTTCCTGAAGAATTTTGTCCAGGGTTCTCCATTAAACAGCAAAAAAAGGAACTATGGTATTGCCATAGTAATGGTTTGTGGATTAGGCTAAGGTGTAAATTTCAAAGTAATCGTATAGCAGCACAATATCAATGTACTATGGTAAGAATGGTGCAGCCACAGTACTTTCTTCATAAATGAGCATAAGAAGTTTTCAGATTTTTTTATGTCAGTTGTGGCATATACTGTTTCTATAGTTATAAATTTTGGAAGCACAATATAATCTAAAAACATCAAAAATAAAACACCACAAATACCACGGTGCATTTTTGTAAGGGAAAACACTGAGCATTGGCTTATGCATGTAGTTCACAGCACACTAACCCAGTGGGGGCTTTATTTGACCTGGTTCTGTTGACTAGGTGAAATATTCTTGGCAGTGAGATGCTGCGTAAAGCACAGCATCCCTGCAGCATCTCCGAAACAGATCCAGTCCTGATATTTTGAAAGTAAAGGCCTTCACTGGACTGTCGTCTGGTCTGTGTGATATTTTGCCGATAGCGTCTCACCCTGACTTCCACAACATTGGCGGTTAGTTGTCAGTATTGATGTGTGCTTCACCTGTAAAGTGCCCCATTGCTCCACTGGTAGGGGTAATTAATGAGGAATCAATGCAGCCGTGGGGTGGATGGTGTGCAAACAGTCCCAGAGGGCCTGTAGTTTGAGTATTAGGTGAAGATGTGACCGCATGCACCAGAGTGATTGTTTTGGAGATTTGAGATGTTTGTGGAGCACCTCAGAGGTTTTATGTAGTGTTACGGATCTGTGTTTCCTGATCTAAAAGGAAACTGGTCCTGATTGGGGGTTAAAGGCCCAAGAAGAGTAGTTATATTTATGTGACCGTATAAAATTAATATTTTTGTCTCTTTTTTCGTTACGATTGGCCATTTGATGTTTGTGAGCATGCATTATTAAAATTCTATATGTTTTTTTTTTCTAAATAAATGAGAAACTAAAATTGTTTTGAATGCTACGAGTTGAGTAATCATAATATAATGTACACTGTAAAATACGATTTTCACAGATTATTGTATGTTTTGCAAGGAAAATACTATTTCAGTCATTCAAAATTTCATGTTTAGTTCAATGTGTTGCTTGCTGTTTAATTGTGAAATTTACTAGCAATTTCTGAGTAAAAATAGTTTGTATGCCATTTTTTTTATTGTATGAAAAATATATTAATTTTGAGACTTGCTTAAGATTGCATTTAACAGTGTTATTAAATCGTTTGTGTTTTTAAAGTGCAACTTTAAGTTAGCGTTCGCTGTGAAAGTGATCTAAATGAGGGGAAATGCACTATTAAATATTAATAAATTAAAAAATACATTAATATTGCTTGATAAACGATATGGTACAGATATTTTGTACATCATAAGCTATTTCTTCCACCAAAGATAAAATAAAAAAAACAATTTAGTAAAAGAACAGCAAGTTGATTCTTTAAAGGGATAGTTCACCCAAAAATGGAAATTCTGTAATTAATTACTCACCTCATGTCATTTCAAATCCGTGAGATCTTCGTTCATCTTCGCAACACAAATTAAGATATTTTTGATCAAATCCGAGAGTTCTCTGACCCTGCTTAGACCACAGCGTAACTGAAATGTTCCCAGATCCAGAACTGTAGTAAGGACATTGATAAAATAGTCCATGCGACATCAGTGGTTTAACCGTAATTTTACAAAGCTGCGAGAATACTTTTTGTGCACAAAGAAAACCAAAATAATGACTTTATTCAACAATTCTTCTCCTCCAAATCACATATTCCACCATTATTGAGAGCACCACGATGCTCAGCGCATGCGTGTTCTACGTCAGCAGCACCACGCGCAAGCATTGTTTACATAACCCTAACTCTCGATAATGGCGGAAGACGTGATTTGGAGGAGAAGAATTGTTGTATAAAGTTGTTATTTTTGTTTTCTTTGTGCACAAAAAGTATTCTTGCAGCTTTGTAAAATTACGGCTGAACCACTGATGTCACATGGACTATTTTACCAATGTCCTTACTACCTTTCTGGGAACATTTCAGTTATGTTGCTGTCTATGCAGGGTCAGAAAGCTCTCAGATTTCATCAAAAAACGGATTTGGAATGACATGAGGGTGAGCAATCAATGACAGAATTTTCATTTTTGGGTCAACTATCCCTTTAAGTTCTGCTTAGTTCAGCAATAATGTTAAAAAAATCTAATATTGGTCAATAACCAATATGGTACAGATATATATTGTATGTATTGAGTAGGCCACTTTTGTCAAAGAAAAAATTCTAGAGCAATTTAATAAAAGGAACAGCAAACCGACTTCTTCAGGTCTGCTTCCTGCTTTAACAGGAAGTTGAATGTTCTACCTATGTTCCAAATCAGCACTACTGGGCCGTTAAGTGTACAGGAAATGATGGAGTCACCGCCGGGGAGCGCTTTCTCAGCCTGCTTCCTCTTTATGTCTAATGTAGCACTTTCTGGCTGTGTCTCCTTCTCTTAGAGCTTGTATCTCGAGTGGTTGCAGTAAATTAAAGGTGGTTAATCATGTTTCAGGTAAGCAGCCCAGGTTTCTCTGAGCCCTCAGCAGCCAGCATTACCTTTTTAACCCTGCTGAACAGGTCGATGTATTGTAAGTGTGCTCTTATGAGCGTTGTTCAGATGGACAGATGGAGCCCGTCAATACTCCAGCTGTATAACAGGCCCTGGATGAACAACGGATCTGAAGTGGTCACATTCAAACCCTCACCACTTCCCGTACACTTCAGCGCAGTCAAGAGACGCTTGAACTCGCATTAGATTCTCACTGAAAGCTCTTTATAACATCACTTCATGTCTTTTTTTAACAGCTCACCACTCTGGCGAGGAGATAATTATTCTCAGTCTCTCCTGCTGAAGTGCTGTGTGGTTATGTTTGACCGAATGTTCTCACTCTCTCCCGCATCTGCAGTCTTGCTGATCTGCACATTTTTCCGATCTGTATTTTGCATTAATTTTGAATCGCTGGTTTACGCAAGTAGGAACGTGTTTCTGGATGAACGTCGTTGATACTGGAGCAACGTTGCTATCAACCAGTTAGATTTTAGGGTTAAAGTCAGCATGAAACAGTGTTCGAAACCACTTTTTAAACAGGATATGGAGAAAATGTGGGGTAGGATTTGATATTATCCATTGGGAGCCAGTGTTGTTATTGTGTACTGAAACTATTAAAAATTATTTTAAAAAACCTAAATGAAAATTAGAAATGTTGCCTACAACTAAATGAGAAAAAGATTTTGTAATTTTAATACTTACATTTAAACTAAACCAAAATAAAAATAAAGTTTAAAAGTAATATATTAAAAATGTACAAAAAATTCAAATGAAAACTGAAAGTATAAAAATAAAAGCTAATTCAAAATATAAAGAAATATTATAATAGAATATAAATAATACTAGGGATGCACCGATACCACTTTGTTACTTTCACTGTTCATTTTAATGGCGCATTAGAGCTGCTCCATTTCAGCAGCTCAATTCAGTAATCATAAGACGTTTTCCTAAAATAATGCAGGGAACCACTCGTTATACATTATACGAGTGCATGCGTACTATTTTGGTGATGTAATTTGCGTCACACGCAGTGTACCTGGACCCTCGCGTACGAGTAAAAACCGAAGTATACTTTGGCCTTTAAAGCAAGCTAATCCAAGCTGTGATATAAACGAACGCTATTGACTATTTTAAAAAGGGGCGGGGCTGCTTGATATGTCCCGCCCTGTCTTCCTGTTTCAGTTAAAATGACGTCAACACATAGAGTAACGCTGCGTGTTTCTAACCATTTCAGGGGACCTTTAACATTATATTAATTACTTACATGTGCTTCATAGACATCCTTAATCTCTAATAACTCCATTCTACTCTCTGTTGTTTTATTTTCAGTGTTTGTTTTTTTTCTGGACACAGCTCTATTCATACACTGTGTGGTATCGGCTTTTGGTATTGGGGCATTTTTACGAGTACGAGTATGAGTACAGGAGCGCAGTATCGGTATCGGTGCATCCTAATGCTTTTGGGAACTGATTGGATTGTGAGTAGAGATGCACAGATGTTACAGTTTTCACAGATACATTGAAAATTGTTTTCAAATTATGCCTGATGACCGATAAATGGCTGATATTAACCCTCTACAGTATTTTATTTTGTTTAAATAAATGGAAAATAAAACTCTAAAAGCGAAAAATAAATAAAATTAAATTTTACAAGTGAATTGAGCCATCACAGCATTTTAATGTACAAATGCAAAATGGATATTCATTTTGAGACTGGTTAAAGATTATTCGTTTCAAGTGAGTGATTTTATTTTTATATTTTCAGATTTCATTTTAAGCTCTTTTTTTTTTTTTTGTGCAATTTTGTTATGTGCTTTTGTCACTTTTTTAGTTTTATATATTATTTAGGTTTAATTTATTTTTATTTCAGTTTTAGTTTCTATGTTTTCCAGTGAGTAATTGTATTGCTTTAACTGTATTTTAATTTGAAAGTTTTTCATTTAATTTTTATATTTTATTCTATTTCTGCCTTTTTTAATTAACAAAAATGTTTAGAATGCTATTAGTTTTAGTTTAAGTTAACCTGCTAGGTTGTTAGTAATTGTATTCAATTCTTCTGAACATTGATCTAGAAACTATGTTTTTGCAAAATCACTTCGTTTTTAC